TCAAAGTGATCTTATACTTATGAAACGGTGTAAAAACCAAAAATTATTTATAAAAGCGTTAAGGTAGGAGTTGATTCAGCAAACGTCCGTGAGGTTAATCGAGGCGGCGAATGTGATAGTAGTGCTTGGAATTCATCGGTTGAAACTTATGGATCTGCTTCGCTGCTTATCATGTAAGTATTAAATTTGAGGGGTAACCTTATACTTATGAAACGCACTGTATACTCCTACCGCATTGCTGTGATTTTCTTGGAGTCTGAATACTGTACGACCTAATTGTAAGGGAGCGGAGCTGTTAATGCTTAGTCAGTTACACAACCGTTAGATATAAATCGGTGTGTCAGCCAACAAGGCGTAATTCTCGTCATATTAGGACGCTCTATGTCCAAGGGAAGTGAAGCTGTGAATAAGCTGTGCTCAGTACGGAAGGTTTTCAAATAAGATTGCAGATTTTGGATTCCAACCTCATCCCCTTTCATAATTCTGCCACGTCTTTTCTACCTGTGCCAGCTCCTATTACTTTTTTGGTCATGTTTGAGAACTTTTTGAGCAGAAGTACTGGTTTTTGGTCCAAACCTCACCCACTCTTATTTCGGGCTAACCTATCATAGAGGATTTTGTTCTCAAACTTTACTGGCTCCACATGTATCCCCATTTGGCTCAGCATTGCTTATCTCTACTTAAGCGACGCGGAATTCAACAAGTGGTCAAGTGTGTTCAGGTAAAATTCGTTTCCTACCCAGTCCAACTTAGCTACCATTCTCGGTCTAATAGAGCTCATTTGCCCACGTTTTGTAGCCTGCCTCTGCCATCCTGCCACTTGCCTCTAGTGTTTCTATGTATAGCGCTGCGAAGCCTGTATAGCTTCCAAATTTTCGCCCACACTCCGTCCCCGTAGGCAAAGTTCGCACCGCCACCTACCATTAATGTTCCCATCCAAACGCTTCCAATCCTTAACCCTTTCGAAGGAGCCAGCACAGCCTGCACATGTATGATTCATCGATCCGATCCCTGCTCGGTACTCCCCAACCGATCAAAGGCTCCCATCTCTGCGAGCTCGATCATTAGTTATCATCCTTATTCGAAGGACCATCTACATTTGTACATTTACATGTCATTCAACCTCAGAATTACGTTCCAGTCACTTTCGCAATTTTCAGTCTTCGTTCATCAAAGACGCAATGCTTCTGTTCACCCTGTCATCCATTCAGATGTCTCTCTAGCTCTCAATGTTAGGGAGCAAATTCCCGCGCACGCGCACCCGCTTGGGTAGACTCGAGTCTCACCGCCTTCCGTTAGTGTTCCCATCCTGCCAGCTGTGCCACTATCAAATTTGAATGCTCTAAGTCCATGGCCTGAATTTTCTGCCAAGCACGTACACCGATAAACCAACAACCACACCTGTTGCATTGTGTACCAGGGTGATCAACGACTGTTGCTCTTATTTTGTAGTCATGTCTGCCTACTTTTCTTACGCAATTTCTTCGGTCCTTTCCTTCGATGTAAGACATGTCGTTATTTCCTTATCCATCCACGATAGGATTAGACTAGAAGAAGGGCATTTTTTAACCCTCTTGTCAAAACTTTCGCACACATTTTCATGCAGTACTGTTGAGAATCCCACGATTCCCTCTATGGAAAACCAGTGGCTCTGTGCTACTGAAAAGTACTGAATGAGAAACAAGTATGGAAATAGTTCCGAAAAGGGGTAAGCACCGAAAGATGCGTCAATCGATCGCACCCACACGGTCATGAGGCTCGTTGACGTGTTGTAAGAATGCAATGTTGAATTCATCGATGTGAACGTCTTTGATTATGTTGAGGCAGAAGCGTCATCCACGCTTCAATCGGCCGAGGTGTTCAGACGTGTGAGCGAAGGTCGATGAATGCACATAAATAGGGATTACATGTGCGTGCAGATTCTTCTACCCGAACGACGTGTCACGCTCAGCTTACCCCTTCGCGCACTATGAATGGAAGTGTTCGAACTCCCAGTAGAATTGTTCTTTAATCGATACCGCTTCGGACAAAATACCGCCGCCACGTGCATCACCTTCGCTTCGCATTTGCAGATATCCGACGAGGAAGGAGACAGAATGGCTACCAGTTGAGTTCGACGGACGGGAGTATGAACGCTGTCAGTGTCATTCAACTCGATGCAAGAGGAACAAGACTGTAGTCTATCAAAACATGCAAAAGCTGATTGAAATCAAGAGTTCTGTGAAGAGTGAAGGACAGAAATTCAGCCGCACATTCCAAAAATCGGATGGATCGCATTTCACTCAATTGTGTGGTGACGTTGTACTCCGACTTTCACCAAATCAACTAGTTGCTCGGAAGGGAATAATTGGTCACCAGCTCGAGGATAAGACTTCTAGAGTACCACACCAAGTGACTTCTGACACCGCTTCATAATGCCTTCCTCCGTTATCAGATGTCATTATCCATGCAACTCTCCTGAGTCCATTAACAGAAACTCACATAGTCAGACCGGTCTTTTTCCTGACAGCCCTCTTGGAGGTTTCCTCAACAGTTTTCCCTTGGATTCGTGTTTTTCTAGTTGTCCGTCGTTTTGTCCTTCGTCGAGCCAGTCTTGACCTGGAATAAGTCTGATCTTCGATGTTTTATTTCAGAACTGATTAGTGTCCTCAAGGCCTTCTGCAAAAGCGGTAGGTAGACGAATCAGTTTTAGTTCCCATGTTGAATCCATGAGGGAGACATCTTTGCAGCTTGCCCTTTGAAAATGATGAAACTCACGGTGCTTCTTCCTTTTGCGTCAATTCAAGCCTGGCATCACCTAAAAATATTTGATCAACTGAGAAAAACGTGTTAAATTGAAGGAGCAAAGATCGAAATGCAGGCATTATTCATTCAGTGAAGCAGTATTTTCTTAAATGTTCACCCACGCTAGGCTACACTGAGTCGTTCGTTGAGGATTGTTTGAGTCTCACCTGAGCTTGGCGCAGATCTGGCCCTTGCTTTCTTGAAGAAGAACATGGCACCGGTCGAACACTGTCATAAATGTGGGAACTTGTTTTCAGTGGAACTGAATGCGTTTCTTATCAGAATCACTAATAACAGATTAGCCACTCTACTACTCTCTAGACCTTTAGAAATGAGCTAAGGGTGCATTCGGAGCTAGTGCCTATCTTTTATTGACTGTTCGACGCTTGTCGGGCTTGTCGCTCTATCCGCGACGGTGATGGTCACTACTTTTAATGTTTGACGAAATTTTCTGCAGATTGTTAGCTGATAGGGGAAACTATTAGGTTGAGACATACTAAGTCCTCGGACAAAGTGATAGTGATGACTTCTAGAGATCTTAACTCGGGAAAGAGGAGACGAAAATGGAAGCGCTTGGCGTTGTTAGATAGAGTATGAAAAGCTCTTCAAATACATACTGGAGAACACATCCCCTGTTTCTTTTCCCGCAACCATGCCCCATGATTTCAAGCCGCCGCAACTCCAGCTCCGCAACACCATCCTACTTCTTTTTTTATCTGGTCATTTATCTGGTCAAGAACCCGCAGAGACCAATAGACGTATGAAGGAAGTTTACAAGAAGGTTGCTCCTGCTAGATGCGCAATTTACAAGTGGCAAACAAATTTCACGTCGGACGACTATTCCATCGAAAACGAATGCCGTCCGGTACGCTCAATAGAGTTGGATTTGGACGTGCTGCAGAGTATTTGGAGGCCGATCCGTATCAATCTACTCTTAAACTGGCAGTCACCCTCAGGGAATCAGTCCACACCTATTCGTGGATTGAAGTCAATCGGCAAGGTGCGAAAGCTCGGTCGATGGGTGCCTCATACTTTGAAGCAGTTTGACATGGACTGTCGCGCCGACATGGCACTTTCTCTCCTCACGCTCAAGCGCAGGAAAGGGTCAGGTGTATTGGTTATTATGTATGTATTTGGGAGATCTTTTTATACTCTATCTAACGATGCCTCGCGCGTCCATTTTGGTCACCTCTATGCCGAGTTATGATCTCTAGAAATCATCTCTATCACTTCATCCGAGGACTTATGACTCAACCTAATATTTCAACTTTCCGTCTAGTCGACGTAGTTTTTCAGAAGACTAGTACGTATATGGAGTCGTCTTAAGGAAAATCTACGAATATCGCATTGAGGAAGTAAGCTTTTTTTGACGGCATGCCTCACTCTACTTTTTTAGTGAAAACTACTTCCTCACTCTCTCTTGAGTTTTTGGATGACAACATGCGTAGCTGCCATTTGCAGTTCTAAGCAGATGTCGTATATACCACGAGTTGGGTCGCCCGGCTAACGCCGGGCTTCTCTCCTTCTATGAACGAGTTGTGATGATCGACAAACAACACGCTACTTCTTTGGGACAAATGATACTTTTCCGAACACGAAATTCGACAGAGGAGCACTAGGGCATGCAAACGATATTCAAAATGTGCCGATGCCCTGACCTTTGTCGCTTTTCATCCCAAAAATAATGACCCATTGAAGGTTTAACTAGTAGGCATCCAAAGCCTTGAATGGTACAATGTTGTCGAGTCATGGTAATGACGAATACATAATTAAATGAGAATACAAGATTATCAGCGGTCGGATAGGTTTTACCATGAATGATACCAAAGCAGAGAGGAACTATGATTCTTCATTAAATTGCTAACTTCGCTAGGAAGCGGTCGCAAGCAAGAAGTGAACCAGATTTCTTTTCCTTATAATCGGTCCCTATCACTGCGCATACCCTTCTCGTCGAATGAAACAAAGAATCAAAGCTAGATCGTGAATAACAAGGGCTAGGATTTATTGGTGGTTGTATCATTTTCTCTAAGACCTCTTCTATCGTCAGTGCTCCCATCCTGCCCGCTCTACTCCTATTGGTTTTGCTTTCCAAGTCCACGGGATCAGGAGTTATGGATTTTCGCTCGGACATTTATTCCGAGGAAACTCGGCCCCTCTGGGCGGGGTCCGGTCCTAGTACCCACCGTAAGTGTTCCCATCCTGCCGCCTATACTCCTGCCAAGTTTGAACGTCCTAGGGCCAAATTTTCAATTTTGGCGCAAGCCGCCTCCTACGGGCGGGGTCTGGTCCTGCCACCCACCATACATGTTCCTTCCTACCTCCAGTAATCCTGCTAAATTTAAACGCTCTAGATCCACCGAGACAGAATTTATGATTTTCCGCTCGAACATTTGTTTCGCGCAAGCTCCGCCCATTGTTAGTGTGGTCCGGTCCTGCCACCCAACAGTTCCTTACCGCTACCGGTACTCCTACCAAATTTGAACTTCCTAGGGGATAGGAGCTATGATTTTCTGCTAAAACATTAATTCCGCACAAACCCCGCCTCCTGTGGGGGGAGTCCGATCCTGCCACCAACCATATGTGTTCCCATCCTACCGCCTGTGCTCCTAGCAAATTTGAACATTCTAGGTCTACGGGGACAGGAATTATGAAGTTCCGTGCAAACAGGCAGACGGGCAGACGGACGCGAGCGCTTTTTATATAGTAAAGATACTAGTCGGTTCGCCAAGCGAAGACCGGGCTTTCTTCCTTTCTCGACAGCTGTGGTGAACGGCTATTTCTCTACACCTTCTTTGAAACAAATAATGTTTTCCTGTAGAAGAAATTTGACACAGGACTAAGAATGCCATGCAAATGGTATTCAGTGTAAGTCGGTGCTTGTGACTTTAATTGGAGGCCTCAATCTTCCTCTCATTCTCAAAAGTAATGCCAGTTAAAGACTAAACTGTTAAGCAACCGAAGCCTCGAGCGGTATTCACAAATATTGATGATAGCACCATTTTTAAATGTCGTTATCAATAGACCCTTCTCTTGAAGGATATATCATTAGTTGAAAATTTCAGATTACTGGTGGTCGGTTATGTTTTGTCGCAAGTGATAACAAACAAAAAAGAACCATCATTGAGTCACAAACCATGCATGGTAACGGTCGTAATTTAGTAGCAAGAAATGAACAAAAGTCTCTGTTATCTGCTTATCGTAGTGCCGCTACTCG